GAGAGAGAGAGAGAGAGAGAGAGAGAGAGAGAGAGAGAGAGAGAGAGAGAGAGAGAGAGAGAGAGAGAGAGAGAGAGAGAGAGAGATTGTATTTAGGGAATGCAAGGGTTTGTTTAACTTGCCAATCGTGCATCTCATATCGCAGCTTGGCTTACTAATATTGCTTCTTGTTAATCATCATGTGGGGTTGGTTGGGGAGGGAGGGAGGGTGAGGGGCTACTGCAGTGTTGTCATCGTGGAAGATGATCCAAAACCGGGTGCACGGATTGGGAGAATGTCGTTTCGGAATTTCAATCCAGAGGTTCAGGTGAGTCCGTTGCACCGTTTGCTTTTGCACATTCGTACAGGTTCGTGAAGGCTGAACGTATGGTCTGTCACCGTTTCAGCATTTCTGTTTTTTTTTGTTTTTTTTTCGAGAGCATTTCTGTTTTCAACTTTTCATCGCATTCATTCTGACGTCCGGGTGCGGCTGATGCCGGCAAAAGGTTTGCATTTCATGTGTTGGTGCAATGAGCATGGAGTTAAAAAGAAGAGCAACTGCATGATTGCGTGCCATGGGCTGGTGTATGCCGTTTGCATTCCTCCGCATTTTGCGATTGTCCGTGATCGAACTGGCTAGGTCAGTGTGAAAGAGGAGGACTGTCGCTGATCCCTGCGGAATCCATCTCACTTGTCGGTGCAAGTTCACTATTGCCTGCCATTCGCTGGCTTCTGTGGGATGCGTTTTGAATGTCAGCGGCTTTTCTATCTCTCTGCCCCGCTCAGCTTTGTCGAAACCTATCAGAGCGATGAAATGGACGTACGTGGATCGGGATTAGAAAGAAAAAACAAGAGGCTACGAGCAGAATGCATTGGTAAGGGAGGAGAGGAGGGGAGCAGAGAGGAGCAGCTGCTGAAGGGAGGTGGGGATGGAGATGAGGCACACCTCGTGTAACTTGTCGTAAAATGGTCAGGTTTGCGACATTATTGTATTAATGATCGGGGTGATGATGAGCAGTAATCGACTATATGGACCAACTGGCCTAGCTCAGTTGGTACACCCCTGCCTGAACTGTTGAAAAACAGACCCGATTTTGAACTCCGCTGGATGCTGACGAGTAAAATACTACAAGTGTGAACTACCTAGGGTCGGTCGGTTTGATGATATGAAATCTCAAGGGCGGTCGTCATTTTCTCAGAAAAAAAAGAAAGAAAAGAGGAAGAGGTAAAAAGAAAGAGGAAAGAAGAAAAAAGAAAAGAACAGCAAAGAATCGACTACGGTGATGATTACATTGCAGCCCGGCAATGGGGAGAGAGGACTGAACAAGGACGGAGAGGGGAACTGAAAAAAGTACCACCTGGGGGGGGTGAGACTCTGTGTTCTTGTCCCACCTGCATTGGGCCCATGTCGGTGGCCAGTTTCGCCTGCCTTTATTTTTCTTTCTTTCTTTTTGCGTGTCATCCTTGCGCAGGGGCCATCCTAATCTTTTCTCGTCCCAATTTTAACGGACGTCCCGCAGGACATTATGCCTGCCTATTTTTATTCTTATCCCACTATCCCCTTTTTTTTTACCGCCACAGCGCGCCCTGATGGGTTGTCGAGATTGGGAACGGCTGGCCGTGGCTGCCGTGGCTGCTTTATGCACTGGCCAGCCGTGCCGGGACAGGTACAGGCAGACACAGATGCAAAGTTTTGACTGTTGAGTCTGTTCAAGCCCGTTTTCAGTGTGCTTGAGTCTGTACGTCCATTTGAGTCTGTCTGGTTCTCTTTTGAGTCTGTTTGGTTCTGTTTTGAGCCTGTTTTGAGAGTGTTTTGAGTCTGTTTTGACTTAGAGTCTGTAGGTCTGTTTGAGTCCGTCTGATTCTGTTTTGATTCTGTTTTGAGTCTGTTTGGGTCTGTTTTGAGTCTGTTTTGAGTCTGTTTCGAGTCTCTTTCGAGTCTGTTTCGAGTCTGTTGCGAGTCTGTTGCGAGTCTGTTACAGGACGGTTTGAGTCTGTGTGAATCTGTTTTGAGTCTGTGTGAGTGTGTTCGAGTCTCTTTTGAGACTGGTTTAATCTACAGGTCCATTTGAGTCTCTCTGATTCTATCTTCAACCTGTTTTGACTGTGTTAGAGTCTGTTTTGAGTCTGTTTTGAGTTTGTTTGAGTCTGGTTTTTGAGTCTGTTTTTTGAGTCTGTTTTGAGTCTGTTTTGAGTCTGCTTTGAGT